AGAGTAAATTTGCAAATTCCCTCAAATGTTGCATTTTTATATATAAAAAAATCTTGAAATATTTTAAGTCATTACATATAATAATATTGCTATCTTAATTAATATAAAAAAATTTATATGACAGTCTTTGTTCAGACCCCAACATTTATTTGTTTGGGGTCTATTCAGAGGCACAGTTTGTTATGCCTTAAGCAGGCTTTGTATGTCACAGCTTAACACTAAGTGGCTTTAAAAAACAAAGCTGTAACTTATATTTTCCAGAGGGAAGTGAGTTTGGCTTTTTGCTCTTTTAGAATGTGGACCATTTAATTAATTTTTTTAGTCAGACCAACAAAAAGAGAGTATTATAGTTTTTCTGTAATCTGCTTTGGCCTACTATGAAGATCTAAATCTATTGAATGACATCTACAAGCAGTAGGTCCCTCAGAGTTATCCTAGATTTATCAGAAGTTACAATAATCACCGAAAAATGGGGAAGATGAAGATAACATGAATTAATCAAATAATGAACTAAAGAGGCTAATAATATTCTAATATGATATATTGCTGTAAATAACTGAAGGATGACCTCTTTAAGTTAAATCCTTAGATAATATTATATGAAAGAAATGGGTTCATTTTAGGATTTGCAGAAAGAAAACCTAAAAGGCTACAGCGTACACCTCAAATTCTCTTCTGATTTCCAAAGTTGGATAGTTGAATTATCCAAAGTCATCTTGGATTGCCCCTTTTTTTTATAAGGTAAGGGTCTACAATAATATGCAATATCGAGACAAATATTTGGAAATGGGTTTATTACAGAAGAAACATATCTGCGTAGGTTTAAAAAATGAAGATTAATTAAACCATAGATATAGGTGTTTCTTTAAAGATTTCAAAGGTGTCAGGACTTCACTTTGAAAGTCAGACATCAAACAAAACTTCCAACATTTTTGTGTCTTAAGCAAGGTAAAGGGCACATTGCTTGATGATATCTCCCCTATTTACGAGACTTTGAAGATTGGGACCCACATGTTTTAGTCGGCCTTATTGTCCTGAAATCAGCTGCTTCTCCTGTTGTTTGTCTTCCTTTGGAGTTCAGGCTGCAGGAGAAAAAAAAATCATTAATCTTATTCTGATTTCATGTGGTCTTAAAATAATTATACTCCAGTTTTAAGTAGGGAAGAAGGCGGTGAATTACATAACATTAATATATATTATCTTTTCTTTTTAAATGTAAATATTAATTTTCTTCTATATTAAATACTGGGGGGAGTCTGCTGGTCCTGGTATATATCACAAATCAGTTACTGTTTACCTTAATTGATTTATTATTACGTACATGAAATGAGTACTGTCAGTGTGTTTTATCTGTGAATTTCCGGGTTTCTGTTATGGTTCTCCCCTTCAACTTCTAGTTGAGTTTCTTTTTTAGTTTTCTGTTAGTTATGTCATTCTGTTTTGTTGATCTTTGGTTTCCTCTCCATTTTCTGTTATATTTAAGCAGTGTTGTATTTTTTGAGTTACTCTCTGTCGCCCCCTTGTAACAGTCTCCTTTCCCCTAGCTCCCTTCTGGTTACTTCTATCCACACCTGCTCCATATCAGTTGATCAGCCCATTCTTTGTTCCGTCCCCCTTATATACTGTTCACCTCCTCTGCAGTCCCTTATTGCTGGTTTCTTGTTGTTACTTCGCTCCCCATGTGTTTTTTCCCCTGAAGTCTCCTGGTTTTTGGTTTCCTGTATCTTGGATTTTGTTTCTGTTTCTTTTATCATTAAATAAATAAAACCCCTCTTTGCCTCTTCATCTCTGCATTTGGGCCCTCAACCAACCTCCACTCTCCATTAACAGTTTATAATTTATACAGGATAAGGGCAACCAAATTTAGATGATTTATAAATATATCTAAAATAAATAAACAATTGAATAATTAATTTACATGGGTTATATAAAAGAAAACATATTCAACATTAATAAACATTACAACAAACAAGTCAGAGTAAAACATGAGTGTTTGCACATGAACTAAGATTATATATAAACATTTTAATAAACCTGTTTTAAAGGTGATAGAGACAGGACTAGCCTGGACTCAGGGGGGTTCTCAGTGATTTGCTCCAGCATCCATGTTTACTTCCATTTACACAGAGCACTCTCACTTGTGACGCATTTGTGTTCTCTACTGTGTATGTGGGACACTTAAGTTGTATGAATGCAGTTTACAAAGGAGATCATATACAAGTTGCATATATTTGGAAATGTGAACAGCAACACAAAGAAGGTGGTTTAAGCCTCTCTCCCACAGACTTCCCCTCTTGGTCCCTGAGCAAGACCCTTAACCCCAAACTGCTCCCTGGGTGCTGCACAATGGCACTTTTGTCGCTATATTTAGAACGCCCCCTTCTTATCTTTGCCTAGGGTCCCAAATGTCTTAAATCCGCCCCTGTTTGTTAATGTCTAAGTTCTCTGCGGGACCGGAGATCTCTGATGGTGGGTGCAGCAGCTGGCTCCTGGTCATTCAAACTCGCAATCTACTGGATAATCACAGATTGGTGAATTTAAGGAGAAGTGTGTGAGCCTATCTTTGCCTGATGGTCAACCAAACCAGTAGACTCAAGCCTCTAGTCTCCTGAGCAGCCACATTATTAAATTGATTTTCTCTAACTTTGCTCGTCCTTCAAGTTATCCTCTTGCTTTCTTCTGTGCCTGCAAAGTCAGGGGCCATGATTGCCTTCTTTCCTACAAAAAGCTCTCTACTCATGAGTCTTACAATCAGCTCCAATCCTCTCCAGTGAAAGTCTGCCTGCCCACTCTCAGAGACTCAGAGTTCAAGATGCAAGACTGACAACCTCAGACTCCTTTATCTCCGGACAAGAAGATCTGTTGCCAACTTTTCAGCACTCTGGTCCTGCCAGTAAATCCAGCTTGGTAAGTCAGCTAACAAGATTCTTTGATCCTTTAATTATTATCCTTTGATCTCCCCCTTCACTAGATGTCAACCGAGCCTGCATCCGAAGCTGACCTATTTTCTATAAATGATTTTTATAAAAAAAATTAAATAAAACAAAACAGTAAAAACTTACCTGAGTCCTGTAAAGGATTTCTGCATACAAGCATGAAAAGATTCCTAGATCCCAGTCAAGACCATCAGCCCAGAATGGTCCAGCAGAATCACATGGAACATCCAATTTCAAACAGCTAAAACAGATCAAAATGCATAAAGCTGTGTTATGATCTTATTTGTTCAACATTACTTTCTTTCTGAGTGCAGTCAGCTCTGGGTTCGCTTGGTTCCCCGCTGGTAGAGCAGTGCATTACCTGGACCTTCATCAAGTCATCACTAAATCCGAAGTTTTCTTCTTACCATCCCACAGTGCAATTAACCTCTTCCCAGGAACCCCTACTCCTGTCCAGTCATCTATAGAGACCCTCCTATCCTGAAAGGCAGAGCATGGATGAGTCCCTATCCACTTCTCCTTTCTTTTTAGCGACTAACAAGGACAGGTCTCTCTGTCACCTGATTTGGTTATCGTGGACTCAATCATATGAGAGTTAAAAATCAATACGCTCTGCTACTTCTCACTTAAGGTCTTGAACCTGTCCATTTGCAGTGCTTTCCATCGTGACAGAATACAAGAGGGAGAAGATTGGAGAGCTGCTTCTGCTTGTTCTAACCAACGCCCCAGCGGTTTCCAAGTCACAATCAAACAAACAAACAACCTTATATTGACTAAGACCCTCACTGAACACAAGTTTAATGTTTGACAAGTTCTTCAAAACTTCATATAAAATAAATTATTTGTCACCCTCCTCAGCTCCTTTAGAGTTTGCAGATAAAGACTGACTAGATTAAAGCTGCCCTCGACTGCTCCTTAAAATGATTAAACTTGAATTCAAAGACACTTTTAGAAGAACTGTATGTGTGAAATATCAGGTTATTCAGTGTGGCCACTGGCCTTTGGGCTGAGGTGGATAATCCAGATCCACAAAGTAAAAAGTTTGTGCAGAGACTAACTCCAACCATTTTCAACTACGGCTTCAAAACGCTATAACTGGGATTTTTGGCACCCTTAGTGGCTAAGGTTTACACTGTTTTGCTTTTTAGAGTAACAAAACAGACAATAAATAAATATATAATAAGTAAAATATAGATGCACTTAAAAGTATTTACATTTGTCATGGTTTTGGGTTTGTTCAAGTTTTATCTCTGAGTTTTCATTGGTCTTATTTCACATTTTGGTGTAAATTTTTTTTTATTGTATTTGAGTTCTTAGATATTTCCTGTTTGTCCTCTTGTATCAGTCTCCTTTTCCCTAGCTCCCTTCTGGCCTCCTCTGTTCACACCTGCACCCAATCTGCTAATTTTATGGATATTCTTATATGACAGGACAATAATGCATAACTGCAAAGTTTAACCTACATGTCCACTTACTTGATAAGTCAGTGAGAGAAGTCTTTGTTTCTCTCTCCTGCTGTTCAGTCACTCTTTGCTGGTTTGTCATCATTACTCTGTCCCCTTCTTGTATTCCTGGTTTTCAGCTTCTTTTTCTAATTTCTCTTCTGTTTAACTTTTGTTATTAAGCCTTAAAGTAACTACTTAGCTTCTGTTTCTGCAGTGGGTCCTGTCAAACCTGCACCCCCACTGTGACATTTATGCAGTTTTTTTTTTTTTTTTATCGTTTTTCAACACTTCTTAAGAGTATACAACTGTATAAACGTATATGGTATCGGGCTTCTTGTTTTCCATTTCACAAACAGGAGGTCATTAATGCTAATCATCTATTTTACGCACGTATTTCTATATTTCAGCTTTTTAATGGGGAGTGGCTACTGTGAGAAATACGCACAAACACATTACATTTAAAGATCTGCCAAACCTCAGAAAATAAATATAGGATCTTCAGCAGAGAGAAGCAGCAGAGGCTTAATAACTTTTCTGTGACTCCCTTCAGTTGTTGCTGGACTCTGATTGGAGCAGAGGGGCGTGTTCCCCGCAGGAATGCGGCGCTCAGGTGGAGGGAGAGTCTCCAGCGGCACTCTGCGCGCCCACAGGAGGAAGGAGCCACAGCGCTGCGCTCTCTGCGCACTGAGTCGCCAAGAACGGAGACGACTGATGAGAAGAAACGGATGAAACTACTTTCTGATGGACCAAATTGTTTAATTTGGAAACGGTTTCAATAAAGTCTGTTTCCCAATTCAGATCATTTGCTGATGACACCCAACCCGTCTTGCAACAAGCTACTTCTTGCAGCCGGTTGCCCTCAAGAAGATCTCTATTTTTTTTTTTGCACACATTGAGCCTTTCCTGAAAGACTAAAGTGATGTGAGGATCTATGGAAGCTGACAGCGTGGTTGGATAAATGGATGAGCTCTGCAGCTGAAGGAAAACGTAAAAAAAAAAAAAAACCCACTATCTGCTTTTCAAAGACTGAGTGGATCAGGACTTGGAACATCAGCAGAGAGGCGATGGACCTTCTGATCGGGTCTGGACCCATGTGTCTGCTCGCCCTGCAGCTGGGGTGCACCGTGCGTCAGAGCCGCAACATTTCACATGTTGAAAATTCATCCAAACTGCACCTGACGCGTCTCCGTCTATTTTAACTGAAAAGGACTGACTATGTCTCCGGTGCAGAACAGGTGAGAGAACCACCTTTAAATGTACATGGGCTCAAAGTTTTTCCTTCAGAAACATACTTGCTATGGGAAAAGCTTATTTGTTTGGAGGTGACACATTCCAGCGACTGTATATGGAGTGTCTCATTAAGAAGGCAGCCTTTAAATATTTACCTTGAGGTATTTTCTTTCCTTACAAGGAACTGCAAACCCTTGAACATTTGTTGCAGTACAGTGAAAACATTAGAGGTGGTAAATTCCAAGGACAGTCTGCGTTTTTTGGACTTCAGTATCTAGACTGCAACATTATTTAAAACTTTTCATATCCGCAGCATGACGCTGCCACCGCCGTGTCATGCCAGTGCATGGTGTTAGTTTTATTTCACAGCATTTTGCAGAATTCTAATCCAACTTCTCCAAAAGTACCTGTGCTTCTCTCACTGACTTGTCAAGTAGGTGATCATGTCATGGGTTACATTTTGTCATATAAGAATATCCATAAGATACATGAACTTTTGAGTTTTTATCAGGACATTTTCTAAAATAAAGAATGAAAACCTATACCTAGGCACTACCTAGGTTTCTTTAAGGACAGAAGCTTGACCCAGCATTCCTGTGGATTGCTCCAGCGGGAGCGGGTGGAGTAATCCTCCTTCCATATCAGGAATATTACCACTCCTCGCTCTACACGTCCGGCTCTACCTTTATCTCTCCAGTGTCACCAGCTATAAATACTCTGCTCATATTTTATCTGATCCCAGTCCCACAACTGAGAACACTGGCAAAACAGACTGAAGAGAAGTTAAGCCTCTTCAACTTTTTACAATATATTTCCTGAAGGCCAAGCCTTACTTTAAAGGTTGTTTCTAAACCTCATGCAGAGCAGTTTCATTTGATGAGATGTGTCAGAGACATGTGCATCCTGACTGTAGGCTCGTCTTAATGGAGCTGACTGATTCACAGAAGCAGAAATCTGGCTCTAGGCGCTTTTTCTGATGACTCTCAGGAGGAATGTGTCTTAGATCGAGCCATCAGCCTCATGAGCAGATTTAATCTACTTACCTTGGAACACTGAGCATATAGCTTCAAAGCGAGGAGTCTGATTTGATGTTATACACAATGATGTCACTCTCTGCTAAAGGGAGGAATTACAATCCGTTTTCCAGCCTGTGGATGCATTTTGTGTGCACCAGGTATAGACATGGCTTCTTTGGAAAGTGATTCATTTATTGCAGGGTAGTAAGATAGTTCAGGACACAAAAGATAAAATTCAATTCTTCTTTCTTTTAAACATGTTTTAAGTTTTACAAAGTTTCCAAAAGGAAGTCTATTTTTTGCAGATGAACCTTAAAGCCATATGTTGTAATGGACACCAGATGCAGGGTACAACCCCAACACAACCACAGTAAAGTTTAGCTGCCATATTATAGCCTGAGGAAGCCCAAAGTCAGTTGTGCTGACTTTTTTGTTGCAGCTTTAACTTCAAACTCTAATATCCATTGCATGTATTATCTTCACCTAAATTTTTTTTACAGTATTAGTAAAGAACATGCACACTAAGTATTTTTTTCAACCACGATTTATTTTAACATTTCTTTCCCCACGTGCAATGATGACCATCGAAAATGCAAGTCCAATGATGTTTAAAAACAAGAATGGGGTTCACAAGTTCATATTTATTGTGAATTCACACAATCAATACACACATACAAGCCAGTTCAGTTTATTGTTCCCTTACAAGTTTCTGGATCAACATCTTTTTATAGCCCTCAACTAGGATATTTGAACACCTTTATTGGCAGAATCTGTAAAGTTAAACTGGTTATTTTCTGGATATTGATTTGACTTTTAATCAGATTGAAAACTTTAATTATAGGATTGCAGTCAGACCAATAAGAGGGCCAGTTTCCTCAATAATGCAGCCGCTTTTGGCATTTACTTAATCATATTTAGTTACTTTAACACAATTGTTTTATGTCCTACCCAGCTAACATGAAATAATTGTGTTAAACAATTATCCTACTGAAACACCTAACCGTGTTTAAGTTTGCGCAATCTGAATGTGGATTTAAGATTTTATATGAAAGAAATAGCAGGTTGTCCTGTTTCTTTCTGCATCAGTAGCAATGAAAGTAAACTAGCCACAAAACAATGTTTTCATCGTTATGCTTAACAGTTGGCAAAATGATCTGTTTCTTGCGGCCAACCATCATAGTCATCTCTTAGTATACAACTTTTTTCCCAGAAGGCATTTTGCTTTTTCAGTCAAAGGTTTGAGTTTTGAAGCATGTGCATTGTTCAGACTTTATAAACCCTCTCAGTATGTGACATTCAATGGTTTTTACTGTGGGCAGTGATATCTATGTTGCTTTGGCTTTTCCTGAACGTTTTACCAGAACTCTTTCATTTGAAACTGGTTGGACTGAGTTATCTCAAACTCCCATCCAAATTAATACTTGATGGATAAAACCAACTTACCTTTTTGCAACACAAAGACATCAAGGCCTGGACATCAACTACTTTAAGCTTACAAATTCTACCTGGAGAGGTCAAATATTCAGTCATAATGTAAATTAAATTAATAAGAGTTTGGGTAATTGCGTTTTTTTTTTTTTTTGTGCACGTCTAATTCAGTCTGTGATGATTAGAAATAAAATCGCAATAAATTCAAACTTGGGCTCTCAATTCTTTTTTCTTTTTTTTTATACAAATGTTTGAGTCGTAGCCATTCCTCTATTTAAAAAAAAAGAACAATTTACGTTGCTGTCCATAGAGTTACATCCTGAATGTTTTCATAAGGGATCAAACAGATCAGAATACTAAATTATCTAATCTTTGTATTTGGCTATTGTATTTACAGTCGGCCTTATTATCTCCTTAAGTGGGCTTTTCGGATCAGGTTACCACGCTCTTGTTATTGCATGTATCTTTGGTTAGCTCACAGTTTAAGAATTAGATTAGTTTGTGTTTAAGAGACTTTAATGTCTAAGTTTTTCTGTATTGGTTCTCCTGTATGTTTTTCACATGCATGTTTCAGACCTGGAAACTCCAATGTTGCTGCAGATTACACTCACTCCTTTAGCCTGTCATTACATTTTGCCAGTAAATAGTTTTTCTTAATTTCTTTCATAATTAACCATTTTTAAAATCTAGGCAAGTCAGAAAACCATATGAAGCATCTAAAATAATGAGTTAATAAACTCAAGTTATTTTCCAATCTGAACTGGGAAATTGTATAACTCACCAGTTTGATGAGATCTGCTACAGAAGATTAATTTAATATTTTTGGTTCAAATTAGATTAAGTTCTCCACAATCTGCAAATTTCTGTCTATTATTTAAAATGTATTGAAGTGCCTAAAGCCAGAGTTAGAAAATAGTTCAGAGTTCATATTGACCTAGGAAAGTGAACCAAACAATGACTAAGTTTAAATGGCAATAACTGATCTTAAGTATCAGACTTAAAAGCAAGAAATTTAGGTGATCAGGTCACTAACGTGGCATTGACTAATCAGTGTCAAGAAATACCAATTGGTTAGTAATTATGCTGATAAAGCTCTCGTTTCAAGGTCCATTCAGATAAAACTTTACAGCTCTGTGTTCGTGCCTACCTGCACAGCTTCATTTAGAAGAAAACGTGTGGAGGTTGCTGTCCTAATGCTCCTGTTCCAATCACTTAGTTTGAATGTTTTGGATTTGTTTTGCCTGTCAGCAGGACAGCTTTTAAACCCTGCAAAATATTTCTTTATCAAATATGACAGATTTGTTGGATTCTTGCCAGTGAGCAATCAATCTTGTTCCCAAGGGACCTCTGTTGTTGAACTTTAAGTCTGTGGTAGCTGTGATTACAAATATGATGCATGTTAATCTTGCTCGGTAACCCAGTTTATTCTGCATTGAGGTCTGTTCAATTTAGTTTGTTTTTGCTCTTTTATTAAATTAAAATGTGTATGAGTGTATACGTTCTCTGCACATCTCCCTGTTTCTTATGTTGCAATAGTGTGGTTGCAGATGACCATGGAGTCTCTGATTCAGTTAGTGCTTGTGAGAAGATAATCTCATAATCCCTGAGGTATGATGTTGTACCAAGGCTGTGCTCTTTGCCATGAAAGGAGCAAATTAGGGAAAGTAAAGGATAGAAAGGTGAACAATGTGGAGTTGAAATCTGGATACTTATGTATTCATAAGGATTTATAAAAGATCTCTTTAGAGCACTGCTTTTTGGCCCTGATAAAACAAGCTGCCCATTACTGGAACCTCTAGTGTGATCTTAACAGAATTATTAAAAACAATGTGTATTTTGCAGTCAGCTTTCCTCCTCTAAGGATGGAAACTCGCATGAAACCTTTCCACAGAATTTCAAAACAATTTTTGGTCTTGACAATTCTGACTCTTGAATATGCCTTTATCTAAACCTTCCATTATACCCTGACTGTATGGTTAAGGTTGCTGTCCAGATGGAGGGGGAACCTCTACCCCAATCTCAGGTCTAAAGGCTGCAGTGTTCATTTTTAGTCTTACCAAGCACCTTGCATGCATGTCAGCAGTTCCTTTCTGGCCTCATCTGATCAGATCAGATCAGTTAACCTTCTGTGTCTTCTGCAAGGCTTGTGGCAAACATGATATGGGACTTCTCTGGGATTTCTTTCAATAATGACTTTCCTTTTGCAACTATTAAACAACCAGGTTTATAGAGAGAACAAGGTAGCTATTGATAACCATATATTTCATGGTTACTTCTCTGAGTGCGTTTAGGTGGACATCCATGTCTTGGTAGGGTTTTCAGTCAATGCTCTCTTGCTAGGAAGGAACAGAGCTCTATAAGATGTTCCAAGCTTGGTATATTTTCAAGAACTCTGCTCCATTTAATTTTTTTCCTCATCTTTCTCCTAGACCTTTCTGCTGTGTTCCTTTGTCTTTGTGTTGCTGTTGTTCACTATTGTTCTCTATAGAATCTCAGAGGCCAAAAAAAAAAAAAACAGATGCGTTTATAATATGATTATTATATGCAGGTGGTCTACTGAA